TATATATATATATATATATACATCACACACACACACACACACATAAATGTGTGTGTGTGTGTGTAAGATTATATTGCAGTGTATGTAATGATTTACAGAGAGGATGTGTTATCTGTGTTATCTGTGCTTGTCTGTGATTTGTTGTGTGTGCTTATTCTACGTGTGTGTATGTGCCAGTTTGGGTTAAGTGTGGAGTGGTCAAACCGCAGACTCACAGGATAGGTACCTAAGTGGAATCAGGGCTGTTAGATTTATGGCCATTTGTTCAGAGAGTGTTCATCCATTGGCTATTATGGAATGATTAGAGGAGAAGGTGAAGCTCCAAGTCCAGCAAAAATCAATACGGCTGTCGAGAACGATTCAGCCTCTCCTGCTCCGGGGAGTATTAGCACCAAACCTCTGTCTACTTGCACTTCTTCATTCGTCTCCGAGTGATCCACCCCACATCTAAGATCATCTTTGTCTGCTGTGTTCCTCTCGTGAAAGCATTGTGGTTTCCATTCTATGGAGCAACCAGCAAGGTTGTCCAACAAATGACCAAAAATGCCTCAACAGCATAACTTTGGACTGGATTGTAATTACTGTGTTTCCAACACTCTAGGGAGACCAACTCTGTGGGTGTATGCATGCCAATAATCAGTAAGAGTATCATTTTGTCTATGCAGCGTACAGTGGAACTTCTAAAAACAAATGCGCCTCAAGTATTTAATTGAACAAAAGTTCTTTAAATATTGTGGCTTGAGACGTCAGCGTACACTTTGATACAACACAGACACTGAAACTCCCAAAAGAAAGACCAACAAGAACAATGGACTTATGAACTTCTGTGCCCGTCACAGATTGTCCATAACGAACCATGTTCAAACATAAGGACTTGGCACCAGGACACCTTTGACCGCAGTTTGATGATTGATTGAGTCAGGTTTGGTGGCCTCAGTATTGCATCTCTGCTTTTTCAGATGATGTGGTGCTGTTGGCTTCTTCAATCTGAAACAATGGTCCTCAGTCGGACAAGGGTGGAGTGCTCTCTCCGGGTTGAGGATGGGTTCTTACCAAGTGGAGGGGTTTAAGTATCTTGCAGTCTTGTTCACGAGTGAGGACAGGATGTAGCAGGAGATTGACAGTCGGATTGGACTGCTGTGATGTGGACTTCGTAACGGTCTATCGTGGTGAAGAAGGAGCTGAGCCGAAAGGCGAAGCTCGCGATTTATCGGTCAATCTACGTTCCCACCCTCCCCTATGGTCACGAGCTATGGGTCGTAGCCGAAAGAATATGGTCCCGGATACAAGCGGCTAAAATGAATTTCCTCCGCAGGGTGTCTCCCTTAGTGATAAAGTGAGGAGCTCGATCATCTGGGAGGGGGTCAGAGTAGAGCTGCTTCTCCTTCATGTCGAGAGGAGTCAGATTAGGTGCTCGAGCATCTGATTAGGATGCCTCCTGGATGGCTCCCTGGTGAGGCGTTCCGGGCACCAGCAGGAGGCCCTGGGGACGACCCAGGACACGCTGGAGAGACGATGTCTCCCGGCTGGCCTGGGAACGCCTTGGGATCCCCTGGGAAGAGGGGCTGAGGAGAGGGAAGTCTGGGCTTCCCTCCCAAAACCGTTGGCCCCGCCACCCGACCCCAGATAAGCGGTAGAAACTGAATGGATGGGCAAAACCAGTTGGAGACGATTGGCCACTCATGTAAAACCAGTTGCCAAATGCCGCAGACTGCGTGACAGGTCAGTGGGCTCTGGCCATGTCAATCTGTTCAATCTGTGTGTGGCAGGCTGAACTGTACTCTACATCCAGCACAATAAATTGAGTGAGTGTAAAATCTGGTGATAAACTGCTTTCTGTAAACCGAGTGACACAATTAGTGGACCACTCACCTTGTAAAGTTTCAGGCTGGCCTCATGTCGGGAATTAACCGTGTGCATCCTCAACTTCTCCAAGCTGTTTGTGTAGTAGTCGCAAGCGTTGCACTTCAGGTGCACTGGGTTTCCAATGGCCACGCATTTCAGTCGCCACTCGTTGCCTTTGCCTCCCTCCTTAATATGGGCAACAAGCTGGTACTTTTGAACGTGCTTGTCCGTCTTGCAGTGGAGCTGGAAATTGGCCTTGAGTTGAGTAGTGTAGTGGCACAACTTGCACTGGTGAGAGTCGCCCACCACGGCGCGCCACTCCTCCTCAGGCAGGCTGCGCTCGGCCCCCATGTGGATGCCAAGCACATCCAGGTTGTCAGTGGTGAAGCGGTTGCACACGGCGCACTGGAAGAGTTTGAGCGAGGGGTCGCTGGTTTGTGATAGACTTTCTCCCAGGTTCATCAGCTCCTCTGACACCAATTGGCCGCTGCCCAGGCGCATATCCATCGGGATCTCCCCACCTACAGACAAGTGTGGAATCGAAACAGTTTGATAATTCATCATAACACGCAACACGTGCCAAGTTTAAGAACTAATGTGTAACTCAGTTCACAGATCAAGTTATATCTCATTAACACTGTATGCTTCAGGCAGTCATTTCAGGTTGATTCGGCCAGACGTTGAGTCACTGTGTTTTTATTACGCATAACATCACAGGTAAAGTAAAGCAGTTTTACCTAAAAAATAATGAGAATTGACTTGGGAAAAAGACTCAAAACCTGATCGTCCCAAGATTTCAGTCAATTATCAGCCTCATTGACTTGTTTGGCCTGATATATACGGTACATGCTAATGGCTCGTCTGCCAGTTATAGCACATAGAAAATATTTTGTAGCGAGTTTACAATTTTTACAAACAAACTACTTTTGTTGTCTGATTGAGCTTATTTTAGCTAGATTGACACATAATCGGAATAGACTGCAAAGAGGAAGGAACGTGATTACATCATTTGGCACCAATCATAAAACTGAATGAATGAATAAAACAATGATAAAGAGTATTTTTGCCTTTTCTGCCTGAGATATATCTTTCTCCGCCAAAATTAGCAATGTGGACTTGACCCTGCCCGGCCTGTAAGTAATCAACTGGTTGGGTTGTAACTCACCTGTCATTTCAGAGCTTCAACTAAGCATTTATTTTTTTTTTTTTTAAATGTAAGCGTGGAATAATAATGTAAATGGTTCTGTTTCAATGCACCCTTTCCACAAAACAACCGTTGATCTCATAAATTACACTACACCTTTTTGGACTGTAAAATGCACACTGACATGACTGTACACTGGTATCGGTAAAAGCAAATTATATGGTAGCGATTAATAACAAGCACATTTTACATTATGTTCTCATGTTTGTTTATATATGTGCACAGGCCTGATTTTATTCATACAGCTGTGAAGTTACCTATCGGGTAAGATACAAATTTGCAGTGAAAATAAACACGCTTAATCCAAAATTCAAGCAGTTTTAGTAAAGAACATAAATATTTAAGCAATTTAAGGCATCTGTGGGAATAGACCAAAGTCAAAAAGGTATCCGATAGAGCTCCCAGCCAACCCATGCCCACACCCCCGCGAGACTTTTTGTTGTTTGTTTAAAGCTTTGTTTCCCAAATCAATGCTCTGGTAAGCAGATGTGTAATTGTCTTCCAAAAACTCATGTCAGCCCTTCCTCTTTTTAGCTCTCTCACGCACCATCATGTTTCCCCCTTGAACGACATCATTTAAGTGCTGGGAATAAAAACTATCAGGCAGGGAGTATATGAATTTACACCTCCCACCAAACCTTTATTTTATGTGTTATACTGCAGAGTCATAGGATTCTTTCTGTGTGTAGGTGTTGGACATCCTCTATTGTGTGATCAAGGATGACACAACTGACATTTATGAACCTAGTGTGTGTCATCTTTGCCTCCCTAGTAACATGCTTATTAGAACTCACCTCACAGGAAAATGAACCAGATGGTGAAGAGGGAAAAACATTAGTCACAGCAATCAATTCCTGTTTGTGTCTTTGAACTGGCAAGAGTTAGAGACGAGTCTGCACAAACTGTGGGGTTGTAACGGGCACAGCAAACATGCTGCTGTGGTGCTTAATCGCCCATGCTGGTCCTCTAACCTGTCTTCCTGGGCCATGATAAAATACGCACATAAATAGACTTACAAAGATGTAAATAAATAAATAAATAAATAACGAGGAACTCCAATGGTTTCAGCAGCAGTTTGGGAATGATGATATAAAAAGTCTGACACGTGCTGCCTTTGCCGAAGAAAAGTGATGTAGGGAACATTTTAGCCCCACCTAATTAACCTTTTGTTTACGGGAAAATTGGGTATCACAAAGTAAAGTGCACTCACAACTGCACCAATATAGTGTCACCTAAAAGTGAAAATCAAAACAAACAGTATTTCAAAGTGATGAATGACCTTCTTCCCTATACTTTTTCTGGAAATGCACAACGCTCATTTGCCACCGAGATCCAGCAGATTTGGGAGATTTAATTAGAAGCTTGAGATGACGAGGCAAAAGCAGCAGAAAATCAAACCTACAAACATTTCTGCAGATAGTTTCAAGGCATCAAAATGTGAATGCGGGATCCAATCATGTAAATAAACAGGTTGAGCTATATTTCAGTGCAAAAATGAGATAATTTGGTTTGTGAACTTTGAAATAGAAAATAAAATGCCATTTGATCTTTATAAAGGTAAAACCAGATACTAATTACATCACGACTGGAGTGATTTTGCAGCGCAAGAGACATATAATTAGAGAAGAAACTCACCCAGTGCAGGGGTCAAGGCAGCCATGCTGGGATCTAGAGTAAAGCCCCCCATCAGAAACTGGGCCTCAGGTCCTGTTGGGTCTATCTTGAGGCCTGGTGGTAGGCTCATGTTTTGTGTCAGGTAATACTGGTAGAGCTCAGCCTCGGAGGGGGAGGGCATAGCTCCCAGTGCGAGTCGGCCATGTTGCATCTGAGTCACGTTCTGCTGGAGGAGCATCATGTTGTGCATGTGCTTCTCGCTGGTCATGTGGATACGGAGGTTCCGCGCCACGTTGGTTTCGTAGTCGCATACCTCACAGCGCCAAGTGGGTTTGCTCTTTGGCTTGGTCGGTGAGGGGGCCCCGCACGGTCCACTTACATGGGCGGAGGACTGTGTGGGGTGGTGGTGGACAGGGTGGTGGCTACTGGATTGGGTCACAGAGGGCACGGCCACCACTCCTCCCGGGCCGTGTCCAAACACCTGCTCTTGAGCAGATCCAATAGAGCCTCCATTCTGCAGTGTCTGCATGTTGTTTAGATGTTTATCCGACTGCATGTGGATGCTCAGGTTCCCCTTGGTGGTCGTTGAGTAGTTACACACCTGGAGAACATTGGACAACCAATTACATAACAATCAATGCAAGCAACCACAGAGGTGTCTTGAGATCCGAGTTTCATTTGTTCAGAGACCATGGCCTGTTGGGGGCAGTATACGACAGAGATACAGATTTATTGTTCACTTAGGTGTAATTATGAATCTTAATTGAGATACAGTATGTGCCACCCAGCTGCCATATGATTGGCTGCTGCGTGCAGTCCTGCCTGGATGAAGAAGCCAATCACACTGCAGCCTGAGTGTATCCTGCCCAGAACTCAAGTGGGATTCCAAACACATCAACTCCTCTCTCAGTACATCAGTACAGTACAAGTCATAGTTGTTCCTCAGAAGATAAAGGATAAACTGAATGTGAGTACAGTTGTATTGTCAGCTTACATGTTGCTGCACCAATTGTTTCCAACCTGTTGCTTAAAGGGTTAAAGAACCGCAAATTTGATGCTAATTAGCATTGTCATTGAGCTAGCACACTGCAAAGATAAGGTATGATTGTTTTAAATGCAGAATGTGTTAGTCACTTTGTTTTATGTTTAGTTTGATTGCTGACTAAACTTGCTGGGAGTGGAACTAAACACCTTGAAGTCTGTTTTGGATGAAATATTCACGAATTGCCATGCTGTTGCTTTTATTTAAAAGTGAGCCGAGTTGACTGCCACCGTACAGCCTTCATATTCAAATTTGCACTTTCAAGTCAAAGCAACAAAATGACGATTGGTACCTTGAAAAACTTGTAAATCGGGTCAGTTGTATTTCAAACACCACTACCTTAAGAAATCCTAACTATGCCGGAAGACATTAAAAACGGCTAAAACACCCCCAAAGCTTTCTGACCATATCCTGAAAAAGTTCAAAATGTTACATACCTCACATCGGAAAGGTTTGTATCCACATGTATAGCTTTCTCCACGCGCCAGACGAGGATGACTTTGACCGCTGCTGCAGTACACACAAGAGCCTCCAGAATCTGGGTGCTTTTCTTTCATGTGAGCCTCCAAAGTCTGTTGATATTTGTAATGCCAGTTGCATTTGGGACACTTGAGTGTCTTGCATGAGTTACGCGAATGCATCATGGTCATATGACCACCCAAAGAGCGTGAGGAACCTAGAACGGTGTCACATTTGGGGCATTCCACCCCACTTCCAACACTGCCACCGGGCCCGTGGTTCTGTGAGCAGTCATTCACCCCTGTTAGGTCACAGGAACCACCGGGTTGGGGGTGAATGTGGCCATGAGATGATGAATGCAGGTGATGATGATGGTGAAGCATGTGGTGTTGCTGCAGAAGGGATCCGTTTTCATCCTCTTCTTCAGCTGGGCAATCATTTGGTTCTGGAGCTGTGGCACTATCTCGATTGGCACTTTCATCAGCAGCAGCATTGGAGGACAGAGGTGAGGAAGAAGTGCCAGCAGTGTCCTCCTCACTCTTTCTGACATTGGCCGCTGCCATCGCCAGGGGAACGGTGGTTCCCTGGCAGTTAAAGCTCAGAGGCAGCTCTGAGGTTCTCCCCCCACCTTCTGGAGCTGAAACCTCCTCCTTGACAGAGGAAGAAGTGGAAGCAGGGGATTTGCTGTTTCGCGTGTAACTGACCGCATGGGTGCAGGCAGAAGGCTGGAGAGTGCTACTAGGCATTAATAAAGGAGATTTGGAAATGCTTTGGTTTGAGATAGCTGATTCCCCTGCCTCACCTCCACCACTGCTACTATTAACACCACTGGTCACAATTGTGCCTTCTGCCTCCACCTCATCTCCTTCCCTTAACAACGGTTCCCCTTCCTCTTCTTCCGAACCCCCCACCTGGTGTGACGTACTGCCAAGGCCCTCACTGGCCCCATCGTTTCCCTTGTAAGCCAACTCTTTCCCAGTAGGCTCCTCTGTTCTCCCCCCGTGTAAAGACAGGGCACTGGAGTCTTTGGCAGAGCCTGGGGTAGAGGGAAGAGTGGATGCTTTGGGAGCGCCCAGCCTTCCAAGAGACAAGACCGAGCTTAGCGGGGTTTGCTGTGGCTGCTGTTGCTGGAGGCTAGAGTCAGAGTCTTTGTTCAGGAGGGTCTCGCTGCCTCCACTGCTGCTTCCAGGCTCCAAATGGACACCACTAAATGTGCCATAAAAGCTCTGGCCAGAGTTCATAGGAAGCAGGGGAGGTGGCACAGGAGTGCCCTTATTTTTTGGTTCCAGGAAGCTGATGAGGGGCTCTTTGTCTTTCCCGATGCCCTGGATGATAGCAGATGCATGGTTGTCCCCTAATAGACGGCGTTCATCCTCGCACAGCGTCATGCGGTGGTCATGGACAGCATGGGTGGCAAAGGAACGCGCATAACCAAAGGACAGCTTGCAGAGAAAACACATGAGAATTGGCTTACCCTTGCCATACAGGGCCAAGCCATCAAATTTGGAGAAATCCACATTGTTAGGAACATCTTTGGATACACAGGACTTCTTGGCTGACCCATCACTGTTCAGGTAATCCTTGTTACTTTTGTGCCGCACATCAAAGACACGAAAACTGTGCAGGACAGGACTGAGGCCTGCCATGGATGAGGTATTGGAGAAACCTTTGTCTGAATTGCCAAACCACTTGCCAAAGGACGAGGCTATGTGGAACGTGTTGATGATCTGAGGGTAGACCGAGGATGACGTCCCAGCAGGTTCCCCCGCTTTCCCCCCACTCGTGAGAGAGTTTGTGGGAAGCAGGCCGGGAACCATGCTCCCACCGCTTTGGATGAGCTGACTCAGGCTCTCCACGATATACGCTGAGCCATCTGGTTGGTAGACGATCTCTCCAGCCAAGTTCTCCACATCACTACTCTCCTCTTCCTCTTCCTCCTCTCCTTCCTCACTTCCACTCTCAGGCCCACCTTGCCGTTGTGTGGGCTGATGACGCAAAAGAGTGGGCATGCCCCCTCCGCCTTGAGCCATCACTACCCCGGAAAAGGGCTGAAGGCTAGGGAAACAGCTGTCAATTTCCATTTCATCCAAGTCCTCCGATTCTTCCTCTTCCCCACAGCTCAATCGGTCCCGCTCCTCTCCCTTACGGCCCTCTCTCTTGGAATGCAGCTGGCCAGTGGCAGGGCTATCCCGGTGAGCCTGGCTCGATGTTTGTTTTGGCTGGGACTGCAGGGACTGTAGTTCTCTCACCTCGTCATGAAGAGTACAAGAGGTTTGGGGTTGAGAAGGATAAGGAGCAGAAAAAGACAGCGGGTCCAGGGAAGGGGCCTGGTTGGCGCAAGGAAGCTGCAAGCTAGGGTGATCGTTCCAGGGCTGTGGAGGTTGCTGTTGCTGCTGCTGCTGCTGCTGCTGGGAGGAGCTGAGCCCATCGTCTGTCCCAGAAAACACGGGAGACTCACAGCTGTCCATGCTGATGCCTACATGAGGCGTTCATCGCATCCAGGCCTGAGGACGCACAAAGAAAGAGGGATTAGAGTTTTTGGATTGTGTTGCTTCTGTTTAGGAGCAAGAGTGACTAAAAAAAAATAAAATGTTCAAAACAAGAGTCTATCTATTTACTCTCTATTAAGAAAAGGTTTGAAAAGGGACAGTTCTGTGTGTATGAAGGAGAAAATAAAATACATCCTAGAAAGAGAATGAAGTAAGAAATAGCTATGTGTTCATTACGCTAAATTAGGCACTGAAACAATAGAATGATTCATCTTCCTGCCATATCAGGAAGGTACCATCTTTTATCTTCACCTCCTAAACAACATTCTTCATCTTAGATGCTGCAAAACCATCCTACATCTATTTTTAATTAACTTGCAGTCAGAAAAGGAGAAACGACACAGTGTAATGGATCAAATAGATGTGAGTTAATTAGACATAGAGACGCCATCCCATCAGCACTTTGAACATTTACATAACCTGCAGAAAAAGTGAAAACTGCAGCTAAAATTAAAATTCTTAACTGTATCACCATTTACACTTCAAAATGGAAATATTGAGACACTTCACAGGGCGGCTGTGTTATGATCTTGCCTTCACAGTTCAGCCTCCTGACTAAACAATACAACCATCCTCCACCCTTGAAAAAATAAATGGTAGCACAGCTTTTGGGATCTGGCTATGCCCTGAGCACCAGAGGGGCCCAACACAGACTTCAATGTAGAGCACAGAATAGATAAAATGATAACTCTAGATACTGCTGAGCTAATACTTTTTATTAAAGGATGCAGCCAGCATTGATTAAAGGGGGCAATCGGGCTAAAACCAATAACTCTTTGCTGCCCTTTAACCCCCCTGTGCTGCATATTCCATGAGCAAAGTTTCCCAGCACCGAGCCCGCCGTCAACCCCCGGCTGATTAGCACATTCATTGCTTGCACTTGATTTATTTACTTATTTACTTATGGATGCAAATTTCAGCTGTGGAGTCTACCCCCACGCCCAGACATATAAAGCATTGAGGGAGAGGAGAGATTGATCAAGTCTGTCTCACTTTTCATGAATGTCTGATGAGGCACGCACCCACACAACATACCTGAAACCTCCAAAAGACTCACACCCAAAAAAAAAAAAAAAAATGTTATTCACTTTCAGCAATAACGCTGAATATTATGAGAGCAAAGACATAACACAGATTTGATGAAAGGAATAACTTAAAGAAATACAATAAATATATGGAACACTTTCAATAATGGTGAAGAGAGTGAAGCCAAAAAAATTGATTTTCTGCATGGTCCACTTCATTATTATTTTGTCTACACCCAACAGAGGTTAAATAAAAACACACTGTCAGGCTTTTTAGTCCAACTTGCTTAATGTGGCAAAATATGATTTCGGGATATCTGCCTTATTGAATGTGGGAACTACTGGTCGACATTTATTATCCACTGGCTTAATAAGCAGCTATGGGCTTTGCATGCAGTCAAGCTAACGGGGAAGGGGAATTGAGAGGAACATTGAAAGAAATTCTGCATGTCTAGACGGCAACTCTTCTTGAAATTATCCATTCACGAATTAAATGACCAGAATAATTTGATAACCATTTTGCACACTATTGCCCTCTACAGGACTAAATGGTACATTATCCACGACACGCGCCGCAGTGTCGGAGTACATCGTCTTCCATAAGACTACGATTATTGACCATCTATGGCTCAGGTCTATCCATTATCCTACTTTCTTATCACTCTCTTTCCGTAATATTTTGAAAGAGACTGCTCACATCTCAACACCAAATTGCCAGAGCGTTGCTTGTCACAATGAACTATATCAACGGTACACGTGGCTACTGACCTTCAAGGCCTTCCCGCTAAATTGGAATTAAGTGGCTATAGTTGTTGTATTTACAGAAAACAGTATACCCATCATTCCTGCTACAGTTTAAGCTACCTGAAGCAATAAGAAGTGTACAGGGTGCCACTTGTTCAGTGCCACTATGGTTGCATCCACTGCTTACAGAAAACAGAATTGGCCTTTAAAAATCAAGATGGTGTAATTCAATAAAGCGCAGTGGTTACTGATGAGCTATGGGATTGTCTGGAGACAGTAAGTCGCAGATGGGCCAGCTGATATCATGCTTGTCTCCGAGATTCTGCCTGGCTCGGTGACACCTGTTTAAGGGAGAGAAAAGCTTTAATCTCGAGGAGGCACCAAGACGGGACAGGAAGTGGAGGAGGACGGCATCTGCGTGTGCTGACTGATAATAAACGCAACTAAAAAAAAAATACTTTTTTATGGTGGCACTATTTAATGTTCTACAATGTGACATGAACATAAAAAGTTTCTTTTGAATATAAACTGGAGATTATGTCACCATTGCTTCCGCACTGACGTTGAACTGTACAGAACCTAAACAAGCTTGAACTCACAATGAGAGATAATAGGAAGGAAGGAAAAGCTGAATTCCTTAGCCGATTTGAGGGGTTGCTTTAGCGCACAATCCTGTTTCCACCTGCCTTCAAAGCTTTACTGAAGGTAAATCCACCTTCTTCCCTTTAAAAGTCATACTTCACTTCTCTCTAATGTACTAACAAATGAGACAGAGTCAAGCTGGAGAACAGGTCATCTGACAAGAAAAGGAAACGACATTTGGTCATCCATCTTTTCACCAGTGGGTGTTTTCTGGGTGTAATGCCCAAGGTAATCGGTGTTAATGCTGCTAAATCACATTTCAGAAGGAGTGGCCGTGTCTTGAGACTGGCCTGTTTCTCCAAGGGGGTCCTGCATGGGCTGGTTTTGACCCCTCCCCAAATGCAAGCACTGCTCGTCATCAAATATCGATAATCAACACAACCGAAAGTCAGCTAGAAGAGCCCCAACTTGGAATCTACTACTTATTTTTGGTGATATTGTACATCCGCACCCAAAAAAATTCTTTGGTACTACGACATGGATACTACTTTCCTTTTCACATTTCCCGACAGACCAACTGGATGAACTCAAAGACTTACAGTATTGGAACAGCTGATTTGGCGCAGTTCCAGGCAGTGGTCGCCAATCTTTTTTGCACCGTCTCAAGGAAGACACACTTTGATAGATCGCAGTAACTGCTGTGCAACGAGACTGAGATACTCATGAAATCCACCACCTTGTGGGGAGTCCCTCCACACACAGGCACCATTGCAATTTGCAGGGGAGTTTCTCATGTGGCACACATTTGCGGCAGAGCACAATTGAACTGGGAAAGGACCAAATCGGTTCCTCAGAAGTGGTTGCTTTTCGTTCATTCACTCAAAAGATTTGTTCATTTGAATGAGTCGTTTGTGAACGACAACACCACCGAAAGCCCGTCGACCACAAAGAAAATGTACAATTCTTGCTATGCAAATGCACAGTTGCACACTAGAATCTGGTGCACTTTTAATCTTGTCAGTGCACATGTGCACCTGTGTGCCACTTACAGTATGCACACCCCTCTTTAGAACTGAAATACCTTACAGGCTACATTTAAGTGAAAAATTCTGTCTGAGAAGAAATGCTATCGGTGCGTCCCTACTCCCAACAATGCCAATGCATTTTTGTCCCTGTTTAATGTTGTGTTCCTGTGTCTGGTCTCTGAGCCTTCAGTGAGATTGGCCAGCCACCGCAGGGTAAAGGGCGCTTATTGGAAAATCAATGGCGTGAACGCTAAGCAAGTTACAGGAAGATGTGGGAAGGAAGGGTTCTTATTGATAAAGCAGGGGAAGGCCTTTGATGTTGCACTAGGGACATGCTCATTGATGGGGGGAACCATTGTACTCCTCAGGCAAATCGGAGCTGGGCTTTATCTGCTAAGTTAGTTCCAATGAATGGCTTAGAAAAACATCAGTGTGCTGTACTATTCAACATAAGTCAAAAAGTCACACTTTTTGTTGCTTTGTACAGAGAGGAAAATGCACCTTTTTCTGTTTGAGACATTTTCCCTTTCATCCGCATTATATTGTAGATCAATAACACCAACAGCGGCGGCCCGGTAATCCAGTGGTTAGCGCATCGACTTCACAGTGCAGAGGTACCTGGTTCAATTCCAGCTCCGGCCTCCCTGTGTGGGGTTTGCATGTTCTCCCCGGGCCTGCGTGGGTTTTCTCCGGGTATTCCGGTTTCCTCCCACATTCCAAAAACATGCATGGCAGGCTGATTGAACACTCTAAATTGTTCCGAGGTGTGAGTGTGGGTGTGAATGGTTGTTCATCTCTGTGTGCCCTGCGATTGGCTGGCAACCGATTCAGGGTGTCCCCCGCCTACTGCCCGAAGACAGCTGGGATAGGCTCCAGCACCCCCCGCGACTCTTGTGAGGATAAAGCGGTTCGGAAAGTGAATGAATAACACCAACAGTTTTAATTAAGGCCCTTCGATATTTTTTATGCTGCGCAACATGGCAGGCTGATTGAACACTCTAAATTGTCCCGTCTAAATGCCCAAGTTCACCTTATTCCACTCAGCAGGCACTTTTAGGTACATCTACACATTTAATAAGACCCAGTACAACAGCGTAAAATCCCATTGGAAGAGGTGTTGGTATTAGTGGCACCCTCTGATGCAGCTAAATTTTGAGAGTATGATAGCACTCCACAAATTGAGCATGATCTGTCTAAAGCCTTTTTTGGGGGGTCATTTGTATCTAGGTCATATTTTCTTGGTGGTGCTTTGACTTTTTGTACCCAAAAACTTCAATTGTCAAATCTGTACAGTCTGTGCTTATCCCATCAGATTGAGCAAGTGTACTTAATCTTGTGTTGAAAAATGGAACTGGAATTGAAGTAGCAGGCATTTTTTTATAAACCTATACAAGGTGCACAGTCTTGGCGCTCAGGTTGATGTAATTGTACAGATTTGCCCCTGTGAAACTGTCAATTAACCACATGCAGATACAGTAGAGCAGTGTTGTTTATTGTGGCTGTAATTATTTGCTCAACCATTTTGCTCATGCAGACATAAAGGCACTTCAGCATTGTTCAGACTGCAGGAGGCAAAAAG